CTGTGTCTCTAAGCACAGGCAGTGGCGGAGCTAGACTTTTATTTAAGGGGGGGCCAAAGGGTGAGCAAGGGTTTCTCAGAGGGGTCCATGTAAATGTGATAAATGAAGGAAAAAATATTTGATTTATTTATTTAAATAGATTAATTAAATTAATTCATCTAGGCAGCTAATTAAACCCTCACATTACAGTATAGTGAAATATGACATGCATGGCCTGCTTACATGCAGTAGAAAACTAATGACTGGTTCTCCACATATACACTTACCACACAGACTTCAAGCAAGGGCTAGCTTTGCTAAAAAAATTAAACAACACTATAATTCAGCATGTGCACTAAAACATACATAGGAACAAAGACGCTGTCTAAAAGACGATCTACATCAGCAGGAGCAGGGCTCGTGGCTAATTTAAACGAGACATGGAGCAGACTGCGCAACGCTTTCATGCTGCTATTTTTTATGTACTGCAAGTGTGTGACCACCTCTGATTAGGAAGGTAATACAGTGTAATATGTTATAAATACCTGCTTAACTCCTGCTGTTATCAATACCGCGGGTGTGTTTTGGATCATGCAGGAACATGTGCCATTGCCAGAGCTTTTAGCCAATGACATGTCAGTAGCCAATGACATGTCAGGATGCCTTCAGGGACACTCGGAAATTACAGTTTTCCGCTCAAATCTTTGCACGATCTCCTCATTGGTATACTTTAATGTTTACCATTTCCAGCGGGGTGGCACTGGGGGTGGCAAGGGCCCTGTTGGGGTGGCAATTGCCACCCCTTTGGCTCCGCCCTTGAGCACAGGTAACATGACAAACTGGGTGCGAATAAAAATTATTTGGCATAATACTACTGAATTATAATCAGAAATATAACTGTAGCCCACAGGAGAAATTTGTGATGTACACAGTGCAAAGAGGGAGACACACGCAGACCCAGTCCAGCAAGGAACTGTCACACCCACAAGGCCAGTCCAAAGAGGGGCTGGGCCACACTGAGGTCCGGGCCATGCTTGCCCTGGGATGTGTGTTGGTCCAGGCGTGTTAGGGACAGGTTTAAAGGCCGTCACTGTGGGACAGGTTTAAAGGCCACACTCATTATGGGATGTGCATAGATGCAAGCCTACAAGGGGCCAACATGTGCTTAGGTTCAGGCAAGTGAGAGACCGATATCTCAGAGGACGACCAACACATGTCTAGGGACAGGTTTGATGGGGGCCAGGGTGTGCAAGTCCAGTTCAGAGACATCCGAACGTACATAGGTCTAACCCAGAGGGGAACCATGTTGCACGTCTCGCTTTGGGAGTGAGGTCTACATACGTCCATGCCAGAGAAAAACTGGGACGTATGTAGGTGCGGGAAGCTCTCTCTGTAGGACACATTCAGGTTTAGGCTACGCTTGTCTTGGGACGTGCATAAATCCAGGCCAACAATGTCAGGGATGACAGTAAATGCTTGTACACCCTAGGTGTTGCACTTCACCAACCAACCAAAAGTAAGGAGCACTTATGGACAGCATCGTACAAGGTCTGGCTGCGCCCCTGAGCAGGGGACTGGCACGAGCTTAGGACTAGGTGTGAGAAAAGCCCACCTGCTCTAATCACCAGCACACTGGGGGGCCTGGATGAATTGAAAAAAACTACAGACGTTTGGCATCAGTAGTACAGTAGTTTGCATGCTGGGGAAGCAGCATTAGCTCAGCTGAGGTCATACACCTGTATAAACTCATCAAAAAGGCCAGCTCCATCACAGGAGTGACTCGATCTGCAACCACTGGAGGCAGTGACATAGAAGAGGATGGTTGCAAAAATTGAAGAACGTCATGGACAATTCTACCCATCCGTTCTGTCAGGCAACCTCTCAAGCCCTTTTATCCACCAGCTCATCCTACCACCATGTACAAAGAAGCCCCACTGGGGATGCTTCCTACCTGTTGCCATCAAACGACTACAATGCCTCCTGCCACAGCCATAACACATCAGGAGGCATCCAATCATTGCTGTTGTAAAAGTCTGGTGCAATCCGTTAGATTAGAGATGCACGATATATCCGTTAACACACCTGTATCAGCCAAATTGGTCAATATTTGAAGCCAGCAGAACCAAAGACATAACTACTAAAATAATTAAATTATTGCACTGGATCAGCCATTTTCCGTAGAGGAGGACAAGGGACTTTGTCGGCTCATTCACCACTTAGAAGAGGTCTGAAGTAAATGACATTAAAAGATATTCACCCACAAAATAAGTATGTAACCTTGTTTGGTATTTTATGAGTTAACCACCTTGACTAAACCAATGAACAGACCTAACTAACATGAAACCAGCTCTTCAAAGCAACCTATACAGTCTTTGCTTTCTGCTGTAAGGCAGTACATAAAAGCTATTAGACCCGTCCCTCTGAGCTGACCCCACTGCATGGCCCCTCTACACAAATACATATGTCATATGACCAACTGTGCAAGACCTATCTGGACCTGCATCAGGAACTGAGAAAAATTCAGAGCACTGACTGGAGTCTTGTTTTTAAATCAAGAATTGAACTCAGTACTACGTGCTTTGTCAATTTGTAGAAGAGCCAAAAGATCCATAGCACTAACTGAGGCATCATCAGGATTTTTCATCTGAATAAACACTTGGATTAAGGTCATTACAGCAAGCACCCCACTAAAGAACATGACTCACATGATCAGAATAAAGCCGGTCGTGAAACTGAAAGCAGCTTTTTAAAAAACAGCTACAATTATTCCTGACAAACTACACTATACATACTCATTTATAGGTGTATCAGAAGTGGAATGGGGAGATCCACTCAACTCAGTGGGGGGAAAAACTGTATAGAGAACAAGATAAGCAAGAGAGTTAACTTTGGATTCCAGCACGGAAGACTGTCCACACACAGTTTCTCTCTCTAGTACATGCACACAAACAACTGGCACCCCAACTTACTGTTATTCTGGCCCAAAGATTCACCATCCTCCATAAAAAAGGATCCAGAACCCAGCTGTTGGAGTCAAAGAAAACTCAAAATAAGACTGCAAACAGCTGAGCCCCTGCAATATCCCCCTCTACAAACCCTGATCCCCGTGTCCCTGGGCACTGCAGTCGGGCTATTTATAGCACAGACATTCATGGTATGGGTATACTATCCCTACATCTCTCACTGTCACTCTTTTGGACATTCTCGTCTTGATGCCTCCAATAATGCCCTGGACAGAAAACCTTGCAAAATGCACACCAACACAAACAAACAAGCACTGTGCAAAGGTTTTAGGCAGTCAATGAAAATGTTTAAGACTGTTCATCTGAGTAGTTCATCTGAGGTCCAAGGTTTGTTTTGGGAACTCCTAAGAAACAGGGAGAAGTAACAACTCAAACACTTGGGTTTAACCTTTTTTATTACCTGAGTAAAAATGTACTTCGGGAGCTTTGTTTGCAGTATTTAAATCGAAAAACCTCAAAAACCTGCATAATAAACTTTATAGTGCAATCCAACTTCACTAGTAGGGCATTGAGGCACCCAGAATACTGCCCCTCCATACCAATCTTTTCAAAACCAGACATAGTGCATAGGAAACAGTCCCTTTGTGCAAAAATACATATATAAATGAATACAATTATAATATAATAAGAAGTGTGGGGGTATAAGGAGGCCTTTGGTCTGGAGCTTCACAGAGCAAGCTTGAATAAAGAGGATAAACAGGTGCTTTCTTCTAGTAAACTCTCTAAATGTTCCCTGCCCTTCGGAGCTGAATGGGCAGCTCTGGGTTTATACCAGTTCAAAGGATTTTTTTCTTTCCGTTTGTCGGTTCACACGCACCAGCCATTCCGTTCGGCACAGGCTGTGTTTCATGCAAAGTGAAACTAAAACAGCAGCAACAAAATAATAAATACCTTTAAAAGAGTACAGAATTTTTAAATATGGTTGCAATACGGTTGACGTGTTTTATTAGAAAAATAAGTGACAAAATATAATGTATTTCAACGCAACTTGGATTAAATCCAGGTTGTGATGAAAAGTGAAAAGTTAATTTTATTCTAGAGCCATCCAAATGTTTGCGAGATTGTCCGTGGGTGTGAGTGTACGTGTGTGTGTGCCCTGCGATGGGCTGGCGCCCCGTCTGATTCAGGGATATGTTGCGGACATATGTAACCATGCATAGGACAAGCAGGTACAGAAAACTGATGGATGGATGGATGGAGTCCAAATGTACCCCAAATAATGATGATTCACGTCGAAGTTCAGCAAAGACTTTTAACGATTATCTATATCTTGGAGCTTTTTTATTTTCATGATCTATGGCATGTACTTAAAGTGAATCACTGGCGGATAAATAAATATAAAAATAAAGTGACTCGTAACTACAGCACCAGAGGCAAGGGCGTAAATCCTGACTCATAAAACCTCTAAAGTAACCCCAACCTTGCAACACGTTACAATATGAAGTCCCGCCCAAAGTCACTCAAGTCCAATAAAATTTCAGCTCTTTGCGAAACTAGGTCAGTCCACCAATGGCGAACGTGGAAGGCGTGTTCGATAGCACAGCCGCTTCAGGAGGAGTGAACGAGACTACGATACAGGACCCATGCACCTATATTAATGCAGCAGGGAAAACATTTATTGCTGAACTGCGGAACTACAGAGCTCGCACAAACTGCAAATCCTCAAAAAATCGTCAGAAGAAATAACAGAAAAAATACAGCAGCAAAAACTCGTTTCATAACACGGAGATTTCGGTAAATCTAGCAGTCCCTTGACCCTTCTGGCATTGTAACAAGCCGAGTGATACGTACAGCAAATCTAATCTTAATCACTTTGAAATAAACTTGAATGACATTTAACTCAAACGAGGTTAAACAGACATTTTCTGTACGTTAAGGGGAAATCGCAACGCCAAAAACCGCGATGACAGCCGGCTGCAGTCCTCAAAACGTTACGGAGACGCCGGCACCTAACCAGTCTCCAAATAATCTTAAATAAAGTGGAAAAAATACACACCGTTACTTTTAAAGTATTTATTTTTAATCCCCAAAAGCTATACAGGTGGAAGGTGGTTTTACGTCTCGCAATACCAAGGGCGACTGAATATCGTTTACACCCATGTCAGTAGATCGCCTTGTTTCTACTCCTGGAAATATTATTACATTACGCCATTGCTAATGAATAAACTACACATTTAAATAATAAACTAGCTAGCCTACTATGTAGCCTGACAGCTTAGCTGCCTAGGACTAGCAAGGTGTTCGCCTTCCGCCGATGGAAAGGTGGGGGCTCATTTTACTGTCAAAAAAAGAAAAAGGCAATTCAATTAAGTACACCATTTGCATACATTTCACACATATTTCACAGTACCTCCTCCCAGGTGCGACTGAAGACCCCAGTATACGCGTCGTTTGAGCCGGCTTGGGAATCCGAGCAACCATAATGATTTACGTACGAGGTGAAGTGCAGCCGCTTCCGACACGCGACGTGTCGTCACGAGGCGCGCGGCACCGAGCGGACGGGGGCGGGGTGGCGAGCGAAACTTGTATTCCTATTATTACTACAGTGAGATGTATTACATGTAATAAAAAATCGTGATGGGTATTTTGTATGTATTGCCATCATACGCCATATTATATCTACTTAATATTTGTTATGTCACCTATATATAAGTAGACACACACATACATCTAATTTGAAATTGCTTTGAAATGCAATATTGACCCAGAAGTGGTTAAAGCCATAGTTGCTTTATACTATATTACTCGCTCAATGTAGTGGGTTACTATATATCTGTTTTATTTTGTTTTATTTTCATTGATTATGGTGCCATTACTGCATCCTACATACCAAGTGGAATGATTTGCAGCCATGTCTAACACATTGCTAGCTAGGATTTTGGGTATGCATATCCCTTAAGCACTGACTTATAACTCAAATGTAATAGTTTTCTACGGTTGTTTCGAAGTGTACCCTCATAGGCATGGCTGGCAGTGTAGCTGTGACAGACCCTCAGAATGAAAATATTGTTAGTTTGCCCTCTAAATAATAAATTGTTATAAATTGTTAGTTTGCTCTATAAATAAGCTACGTAAGGCACTGTCAATTAAAAAGATACAAAGAAATATCTCACTGTATGTTTCAGATGAAGTCATAACATATGGCGCAAAGATAAAGATATGTCAGACACAATTAGGTCATAAATGACACATAAACATCTCCCTTTTGTAAAAGGTGAAACTGAATGATGTCTACTCCACGTAGCATGATGAACGGCAACCAGCAAGCTAGCCACAAATTCTACCAGAGCACGTCTCAAATTTCAGGCTTCAGCACCCTGCCACCCCCCCATTATGCATATATACTGCTGAACAAACAGTTCATCTACAGGGGATTTGTGTGGAAAGGTTATCAATATGCCTGACTAGTGTCACAGGCTCATGGCTGTTGTTTTATACCAAATACTCTTTGTGTCATCTCTCCCATACTCTGCCTGCTTTGGGCTCATGTGCCTGATGGTTATAGATATGTGAGTGAGTGAAATGCGAGTTGGCTGTCAGTAATGCCAGACAAAGAGAAGACCATTTATGTAAATTCTGAGGCGCAGGTGAGCAACAATGGAAAACTGAAATAAGATCTTTAAACATGCCAGAATGGTGAGCATTACGTGCATTCACGGTCACAGCAGTGGTGACCTGGAATTTACCCAAGCGCAGATCGAGTAAACTGTTGTGCTACAATTGTTTTACACGAACATAAGGTTCACCATATATGGCATTTTATGAAAATCACAGACACAAACATAATGACATCAGATAAGCATCATCATTTAAAAACAAAAGACAAAGTTTCTAGATACCTTAATTCTATGCGTGAAACAATAAGGAAACAGCAGCTAGGATTCCCACAGGTAATTATGTGCCGCTGTAACCTGGAGCCTTGCTTTTGTTCGCATTCATGCCAGAAAAGTTGCTCAAATGAACGCAGTCACCTCCCTTCCTGCCTTTCAAAGCGCGAGCTAGCCTGGACACCTGCTGCATTCTGCCACATGTATCGCTCGGTACGGCGCGCCATGCCTGCTCTCTGCCTTATTTCTCCCTTGGGGGTCTCCTTGCTGCTGGGATTGGGAGGCTGCGCTAACTTCTGCGAGTCGACCTGTGGGGCAATGGCACCTGGGGACGTCCTGATCGGGGTCCTTAGCTCCTGCTACGCTTCTGTGGAGGCCCTGAATGAACGGACACAACCGCAACGCTTCAACTGCACAGAGTGAGAGAAGAAGAGGCTGACGTTAATGATACATAGGATATTATGCTAATGCAATTAACAGAATTAATTAATACAGCCAGACACATTATAATATGCTGTTTTCAATCTAATTATACTGTACATATGTTCTCATTGCTTGTTATTACTGGTGGTTTTTTGTTGTTGTTGAATATACTGTATATATTTTGTCTTTTGCAGTTTTAATCTGTTTTCTTTTGTGCGGTCACTGGCTGTCATCCACACCATCGGAACAATCAACGACTCCGGCTTCCTCCCCGGAGTGCGGATTGGGTACATGGTCTGTGACACATGTTCTAACCCCAATAAAGCCCTCCAAGCCACTGAGTACCTGCTGTCCAGCAGCGGCACGCTGCAGATTGAATGCGACCCCACTGAGCGTCCTCCGGTCAAAGCTGTGATCGGCGCTCGTTTCTCAGAGGTCTCCATTACTGTGGCCAGGCTTCTAGGTCTTTACATGGTTCCACAGGTGAGTCACACACAGCTTATTGGGACTATTAATTGTGGCCCTTATTGATTGACTGGGACTGGGCACTGACTTCCTCTGCTGGCCCGTGGAGGATGGGCTCCCCCTTTGAGTAAATAGATTGCATTTTTATAGCGCTTTTCTACTCCTACGAGTACTCAAAGCGCTTTACAGTTCATGCCTCACATTCACCCATCCATACACACATTCATACACCAGTGGCGGAGGCCTGCACACCGGGAGCAATTTGGGGTTCAGTGTCTTGCTCAAAGACACTTTGATGGGGTCAGGGTTCAAACCTGTAACCCTCCAGTTGCCGAATGATAGCACTACCTCCTGCGCCAGCATTGCCCCCATCGTCTGGTTCCTTCCAAGGTTTCTTCCTTCTAGGAAGTTTTTCCTTGCCACTGTTGCCTCTGGCTCGCTCACTGGAGCTTTGGGCGGGGATAACGTACATTTGAGACAATGTAATGTTCTGAAAATGCACTATACAAATTATACTGAATTGAATTGACGTTTTCCCTGCATGTTTCATCCCAACAGATTAGCACATCATCTTCTGCAGCAATCTTGAGCGACAAGTTGCGCTTCCCGTCCTTCCTGCGCACAGTGCCCAGCGATGTGCACCAAACCCAAGCCTTGGCCAAGCTCATGTCCTTCTTTAGCTGGGACTGGATCGGCGTAGTGTACGGGGATGACGATTACGGCAAGGCAGCCCTCCAGAGCTTCTTGCTGGATTCCGAGATGGAGAACATTTGTGTGGCATATCAGGAAGTGTTGCCACACTACTTACATTACGGTGACTGTGACGGGCGGATCATAGAGGTGGCGGAGAAGATCAGGTCTTCAGCAGCCCAGGTGGTGCTCCTTATCCTGAAGGAAGAGCTGGTGATGAAGCTCTTTGCTCAGATGATCCGCACCAACACTACCAGAATCTGGATTGCCAGTGATGTCTGGTCCATGTCTGGGCTCTTAGCCAGCATGCCAGGAATCAACAAGGTGGGAGATATCTTTGGATTTAGCTTCATGACAGGACCAAACCCAGGATTTAGTGACTTCCTTCAGAACCTACAGCCAGAGCCAGGAGCAGTAAACCATTTTATCGAGGAATACAAGAACCTGAGGTTTGGCTGTACCCCTGAGATACTCCAGTATAGAAAATGTCTCGCCAGCAACGCCTTGGATTCATGCCCTGCACCTGCGCCCCTGAGTTTTACATCTCCCAGTGCCTGCAACATTACTGACCCTCAGGAAGCTAATGATGTCTTCTTGATAAGTGCTGTTGATCCCACTGTAACCTATGGTGAGAGATTGGCTACCTGGTCCATTGCTCATGCCCTGCAGAAACTCCTGAATTGCAATGAGACTGTGTGTCCTGGTGAGAAAAACTTTCCTCCTTGGAAGGTAAGACGTTATTGCCGTAGATTGTCAAGGACAAAATTCCAACAAAAAACCAACAAGACTATATTTGTCTGCAGCTTTTAGTTCGATTTACTCATAAATATATGTTATTTTTTTCCATTTCTTAATGTATGTTTGCTTCCTGATTTATTCAAACATTTACATTTTGTAACATGTGCATAATTTTATATTCTACTTGGATATGCTTTTCAGCTTCTGCAAGAAATTAAAAAAATAAATTTTACAATTGACAGCCGTCAGTTTTACTATGACCAGTCGGGCGACGCGGTGAACGGCTATGACTTGATTAACTGGATGAGAGATGGAGATGGCAGAAATTTCACAGTAGTTGGACAATACGTTCCAAATAATGGCAATGTGGATGTCGATGTGAATAAAATTGACTGGCATACTCCAAACAACACGGTTTGTAATATTCATACTTCAATGTTTCCCAAATAAAATCTCCATGGTTATAAAAATCTGCCATTTTATAAACAGTATTCCTTTTCTGCTTAGGTCCCAGAGTCTAAATGCTCACCATCCTGTCCCCATGGAACATTTAAGAAGGTTTTGAATATATCCTGCTGCTTTAATTGCACACAGTGCGAGGAAGGGACCTACTCTGACGCCTACAGTAAGTGTGACAAGAGCTCATTGATTATATGTGTTTTTCATGTGGATAGGATTGCTTCTCATTTAATGCCTGTATCCGTGTGCTACAAATAATCATGAATTTGAAATTGCAAAATGCTAATCTTCGATTTCTCTGCATGTTTCCTACAGACCTTGATACTTGTCTAAATTGCCCTTTTGACACATGGTCATTGAAGGGCTGGGACAAATGCCACCGGAGAACAGAAGACTTCTTCAGCTGGTCTAATCCTTATGGTATTGTATTGCTTACGTTTGAGTGCTTGGGGGTCTTGCTGCTTCTGGTGGTCTTCGTTATCTTCCTAGTGGCCCGAGACAGCCCTCCTGTAAAGGTGGCTGGAGGGAATCTCTGCTACGTTATGATGGCTGGCTTGCTCATCAGCTTTGTAGGGGTGATCTTCTTCATGCTGAAACCCACTGATGCCATCTGCCAGACTCGTCAGACCATGTATGGTATGGGCTTCACACTCTGTGTGTCCTGCATCCTGGTCAAGGCGTTTCGTACCTTCCTCGCCTTCCTCTTTGACCTGCACCAGCAGCATAATCTGAAAAAGCTCTACAAGCCCATCATGATCATCGTGCTGTTTACCATAATCCAAGGCTTCATCTGCATCTTCTGGCTGGTGTTTGACTCGCCCAGGTTGGACTCCATCACTTCCAACCAAAGCATGGAGATCCAGCTGCAGTGTATCGAGGGCTCTGGTGTGGGCTTTGGCGTCATGCTCAGCTACATTGGCCTCCTGGCCTTCATCTGCTTCCTCCTGGCCTTCAAGGGCAGGAAGGTCCCTCATCGTTTCAACGAGACTGGCTACATCATCTTCAGCATGCTGATATACCTGTTTGTCTGGGTCTGTTTCATCCCCATCTACGTCACAAAGAATCAACAGCGTTCAGCTGTCCAGGCATCAGCCATCGTGGTCTCCAACCATGGGATAATTTTCTGTCACTTCTTCCCAAAGTGCTACATGATCCTTTGCAAGAAGAAGCAAGACCTCAGCCCCAGAGCATACTTGGACAGAATACGTATCTTCTCCATCACGAGCAGTAATCTGGCAGTTGCTCGTGCATCTGTAGACTCTGGGAATGGTGATTTGGGATCAGCGTCTACACCAAATTCCATGAGCTCCGAAGTGATTACAGCATCTGTATCCACAAAGGCCACATGCCTCAGTGAAGACCTTCTTATTACAGAATCTCTGACGTATCTGAGGAAAAGGGTCAGGAGTTCCTCTATTTAAAAGCAACATTGTACCTTTGTAAGGTTTATGCAAACAAATATGAACACATTTCTGCTGAACTCAACAGTTGGCAGTCAAGGAAAACAATGTTTGAATGATCTTAATGTTTGTGTAAAACTATGATACGATGTGTGTCAATGTGTGTCAACTTAGCCATTTCGAAACCTCTCCTAAAATCACCCCAATATTTGCAATGACCATCAACTATACCCATGTGTTTGTCAAATCATGCACTAACCTACCATTTTTGGCTAATCAGTACCCTATCAAGTTATTTAACCAATTACGTTAATTAATTCAGTGAGCTGCTGGTGAAATGTAAGAATGTGGAATTGCTGGGGTGACCCTAAGGAGAGTTTTGGGAACCAGAATAGTGATCCTCCATGAAAGGGAACAAGTCACTCCTTGGTGAGTCAAGTCTCAAGTCCAAACATTACAAGCCCAAGTCAAGCCTCAAGGCATCTGCCCTCGAGTCAAAGTCTTTCCATCATTTTTGCTGTTGAGTCACAAGTCATCAAATTCGTGACTGAAGTTGGGAGTCACGTAACTCGAGTCCCTAACTATATCAGTTTAAATTTAGTGATTAAAACTTTCCAATTTAGTGATTAAAACTTTCCGGTTATAGAGTCGAGTCACATGCTATCATATTTGTGACTTGAGTCTGAGTTGATAATGAAACATCTGTAAATACCTGTTATTAAAGATTTTTATATAATATAAATATATTTCCATGAGTATGCAGTGTGCCTGTGAAAATCATCCATCAATCTGTTTTTTGGTGTAAAATGCTCCTTGGTGCCATTTCAGAAGATATATGTGTTCATATCTGTGTGTATGTAAATTGTATCTAAATATATAACATGGCAAACCGAAACACACGTGTCTTATATAATGTTTATACTAGGACTATTTTTTATGGGTCCAGAGATGTCACGTGGGTTTTGATTATTTTCGTGCAACTGCACAGGTAGTTCCACCAGCCTAATAACACTTCTTTATTAATGCATTTTAACGTTTTATTAGACATGTTAATACAAAAACCTGTATGAGTTTTTACTCGTGAATAAGCAGTGTCATGGCCTGTCCATCGATCCCCGATATGACCGACAGGGGGCGCTGCTGGTCCTCCGGATAGCTTCTGATTCCTCCCAGGTGTGTCTCTCTCGTTATCCCCAACTCTCTTGTGCTAACCATCCTCACCAGCTCCTCATCAATCCTGTATAGAAGTGCTTCCCAGTCCTGTGTTCAATGTGGTCGTTGAAGTCAGTCGTTATGTTGCCTGTACCCTTCCCGATACTAGTCGTCCCCTTTGACCCCAATTAACCTCCCCCCCCTCACCCCCATTTATTCTCCTAACCACTGCCCCCGAGTCCTTCGTTTCTCAAGACGGGACAAGCAGTCATTCTCATCAGAATAATTTTCCTTGGTTTTAAAAATGCATGCGCCTGTCTGTTGACGGTTTCTATGGTAACTAAACGGACCTGCCTTTTCCAGTGAGGCCTGACCAGCCGTTCTGTTCTTATAGGGACTATGTTCTTAAGAGCACATTGGAACATTATTAAATGCTAATTGAAATTATTTTCTTCTGAAAAGTTAACGGTGGCTAGTTTATTAGAGGTGTGCGTTTATACAGAAATCATCGATTTACACTTGCTGTACGATTGGCAATCTTACACTTGCGCTTGGTTATAAATGTCCCATTGTTGGTAGTATTATTACGTTTTCGGTCATCCTTAACTTAATTTGATCCACTACACATAAAATAGTTATGTTTTTCTTAAGCAAGACTCGACTGCAGCCGTTATTACAAACATGAGCACTTTGATGTCACCAGTGCCTTTGGTAGGATGGCAATCCGGTCACCAGCATTTAGCGTATTTTAATCCCCTGAAGCTCGTCTGGCAAGTCAAACATGAAAAGCAGCAGCGGTTCCCCCGTTTCGGCCAGCAGTGCGGTGCTTCTCTACATACGTAATCCATACAACAATAACCGAGAACTTTGACTCACTCACCTTTAATTAAGATAATCACTTATTTACACGTTAAACGTCGATTAGAACAACTAAGGAGAGTATGATTATGCTGTATCACAATACAAAGAAATTCCACTTGATACATTTTTTTTTTTTAATAAAAACCAAACAACGAATGCTAATTAATTTTAATGCTAATTTGCTATTCTTGCAAATGTTATAATAACAGTATACGTTAAGGTGTAAAATAGCTAAAGTTACACATTTTTCTAACACGTCATGTAGCATATGTATATGAATATATTTGTTTTAGCACTTTTCACAACTGTGTCATAATCTATCACGTATAAATATTATCCACTGTCCCTGGAAAAGTGGTCAAGGAGAACTTATAATAAGCTGTCTAATAAATTTATAATATTTTTAAAGTAGGCCTACATGTTAGATAAACTGGCTGATGGGGAAAAACCTTTTTTTTTTAATTTAATTCCTTGTAGATTGAGGGTAAAAAGTTACTGAATCCTCATCTCAGTCACAATGTCTTAAATATTTCTTAGTCAAATAAAGAGGAAGGAAAAGTTGGGGTTTTTGAAAGTGTGAAACATGATCTCGAATAGTTATCACACAGTGAAGGACATAACTGAAAGAGTTTAGAAATTCCCAGAACCCTAAGTGTAATTCCCCAAAGGCATGAGCAGAAACTCAGAAGAATTCGCTGTATTCATGTGTTCTTGCTCTATTGTGTAACTGGGTCCTGCAAAGCCAAGACACTGAATTGTTATCTTGCCAGCACCTGAAACCTGAAAATGCAGTAAATCTATAGCTAACTGTATTTACAATAGGATGTGAAACTTTTGAATTACCTGCTTTTCTGCATTAATCGGCAATTATCATAATTGAATGATATATTCAATACATACAAGAACAATATGTACAATAATTTGTGCATTATCAGTTAAAACAGATAGCGTTTGTTCATCATTGTGACTGAGATGAGGATTAGATAATATTTTATTAGCAATTCATGCAGAAATCAGGAAATTCCCAAAGGTTCACATACTTTTTCTTGCCATCGCAGATATTCCTCAAGCAGCATTTTCCACATTGAGGTTCTGCTCATCTGTCTCTATCTTTCTGAATGTAGTAAGACTGTATGTTTCCAATGCAAATGGATAAATAAGCATAATTAACAAGTTAACAAAATATTAGATAATAATATATATACATCTGAAGCATTCAGCATTAAATGAGACAGTGGTTAACGCTGTGGTTTCATACCTGCAGGGTGTTGGTTTGATTCCCACCAAGGGTCTGTGTGTGTGTGTGTGTGTGTGTGAGTGGGTATATCTTACCTTATGGGGACACAATGTCCCCACAACGTGATAAACACCTGTTTTTGAGGGAAAACTCAATTTAATAAAAATCTGTGACTGCAATGAAAAAACTGAAAATGCAAAAACTCTTGTATTTTGCTTGATTATGGATAGGACTGGGTAGGGGTTAAGGTCGTCATAGTTAGCGTTAGCATTTTTCCCATAGAATTGAATGAGCGGTCCCCATAAAGATATGTTTACCCGACTTGTGTGTGTTTGTGGATTAGGTTTATATTACATTGTGGGGGACATTTGGGACCAATGAATTTTATATTGCAAAAATACAAATTCTGTATAATTACAAGAGAAAATATAATATAATCCAAGTCCAACTTGCCTGCAAACCCCATTCAGCATGCCAAAAAATGGAAATAAGTCTTGTATGAACCAAACTTTGGATTGGTGCGCAGAGTCTCTGTTGGGGTTGTTTGTGATGCATGTCAGGGCACTCAATAGGGTCTGTCACATCTGTGTGGTGGGCAGAGTTTGTTTTCACAGACTTTCACAAAATGTGGGCTCATGCAAGACAATTTTCACACAAGATACTGGGGTTCTGCGCAGAATGGGAGCATAAGGCTATAATTGCATGTAGAACCCGGGGAACATCACTCACATTGGCTGGTAGACCATTGCACTTCTTAAGGGTTCTACGGATGCTTATGGTTGGTATATTTATCCTTGGAACAAAGAAATCTTTATTTCGTTGCATCTTGTTTCCGTTTTGACACGAGTCGGTTCATTTAGTGGGCCAGACTTTTCGCTTCCCTGAATTATGGAGCCGTTGCCGCACTTACAGGCTAGCGGAAATGACTGATGAATCTGGCTGCAGGGCCCCATTCTGAAGATTGAGAAGGAGCATAGAGAAGGAGCTCTCTGTAACTTATACCATGTCATGGCAGCCCGCACACCACGCAGAGACACCTGTATTCATTTTCCTGTATTTTTAATCTTAAGAAAATGCCCTAGTTTTGAGTCAATAATAAAATTAAATGTATAAGAACATTTTGGATATATAAATAAAAGCAGTTATTAAATGAAGACATTTCCACAAACCATTGTCTTAGGAATTTTGAAAGTGGGGGATTTTGTCGCTGATGTAAAAATGCTTGTCAACCACGGCAGGCTGGGGTGTGGAGAGTCACTACAGAGGAACTAAAACCGGTTATGCAGCTGAGATTACGTTTCAGCTCCAGTGGACCTCAATACTGGGGGAAATTCAGCCAATAACACGCATGCATTGGAAAGGAACATACATATATCACAATCCACCAACCTTTACTTTGCTTTGAACCTGGAATAATTGTAAGTAAATAAATAATTAAAAAAACAAATTTCAAGTATACGTTGTTAATAACGCCCCTGGTTTAACTGTCTGTTACGCAGTGAGATAACCAAACGGATGCGTGTTACCTACACGCATGCTGGTGACTGGCCTGCTATAGCACCCCACTTCCCGGTAGCTTGGCAGCCCTATTTCACTTAAAATTGGCAACAACCAATCAGGCAAAGGCACGGTCACATTGGCAACCTATTCAACCTGATGAAAATGGTTCCACCTTGTGGTGAGAACTTTAAAGAACATGAACTCTTTCTTACCAGGCAGGATCTTGAATAATGTAAATCGCAATTGTGCTTGACTGTTCCGTATTTTAATAGCAGTCTGCAACTGTGTGGTAAAATATAGCTGTGTATTAAAATTGAATGCTGTTCTGACTTTCTGGTGATTTTTCAGTTGTTTTCTTTATGTTTCTAAGTGGACAATTACATATGAAGCAAAAACTGTGTGTTATTCACAATCTTCTCCTATGTCATAAAGTAGCAATCTGGTATATTATCGACCTTTCATCAGCATCCATGTTTGGTAGCATGTAATTGCAGTGTTTTTCTTGGGCTCTGAGATTCTGCCTTATCATTCACACATGACGGTTTCCTTACAGTGAAAGCCACATCCTTCACGGAAAAGATGTTTGAATAAAACCTAGAAGGGCCTTCAGCCCATAGTTAGCATGAAACATCCTGGTCTGTTTTCAACAATAAATAACCTTTCAGCCCAGGAACAGCTTGCTGCTGCTTTTAGACATAATTATTTGTGGAACACAAATAAGGATGGAAAGGGATTAGCAGAAGGACGACCGAGGAGCCAAGAATCACTGGGAACCATTTAGAAAAGATTAAAGAATTAAATGTTTGAGGGGCCACAAGATAAGAAACAAGGTTTTGATGTCAGGCAATTAAAAAAACATTGCTTTCAAACTACAGATGATCTTCTGAAACACTACAACAGCACAATCGCCTAATATTCCTCTAAACTATTTCACTGACATGGTATGTGGTACGATGCTTCCCACTGTGTATTTATCTGGGTGCCCAGAAGATGCCAGGCAGGCCAGGCAGGCACACAGACACCCAGCAGCTCTGCAGGCCTGCATTCAGATATAGTGCTCCATACTGCTGGAATAAACCTCAGAGGCCCTCGACACCGGATACTCTTATTTCACTGGAATTTTTCGGGTTTAATTACAAGTTTAGCGGCATTTGATTGTAACCGTTTTACTTAATGTTTTTAGTATTGGCTTTTGATTCATCTTCTCCGTCTCATTATTATTATTAATATTATTTATATATCAGTTTTCTATCCATCATCCATCCATTTTCTAG